CCCCCCCCCCCGTCCCCCCGCTGCTGGCGGACGTGCCTGCTTACCTGTAGCGAGGCGCGCACCTCGCACCTGCCTCCCTGGAAACGTTGCTCCAGACGCTGTGGAAAACGCGCTGGCCGGCTGGTGAAACTTAAAGCTCTGCTTGCTGCCTCTGAAACATCCTCTCCAGCTGATGGTGAGCATTTCCACCTCCGCTCCTGGCGCTGTACAGATCCTGTGGCGCGCTGTCTGGTCCCGCTGTCGGGGTCCCATCATCACACTGGGCCCGTGCGCGGCTGGGTTTCTTGCCGGAGGCGCGCGTCTAACTCTGCAAATCTGAGGCCGCTGGACTGGACACTGCAACCATCTCCTCCTGTGGTGGATTCTACGAGGATGGCCCTGATAAATGCCAGATCGCTGGCTAATAAAACTTTTATTTTGAACGACTTTTTCTGCTGCAACCAACTGGACTTTCATTTCATCACTGAGACTTGGATCTGCCCTGGTGAGTTCAGTGTTTTTCTGGAATTACTGCCTCCGGATTGTTCTTTTTTCAATGCTCCAAGGACAACTGGTCGTGGTGGAGGATTATTGGCTGTTTTTAATAAACATTTGCACTGCAGACAGCTCCATGGTTCAGCTAATTATTCAAGTTTCGAACTGCTCTGTTGTGAGCTGGACCGCTCCAACCCAGTTCTGTGTGCTATTTTTTACAGAGCCCCGGTTACCATAAACAATTTTTAAATGAACTCTCTGACTTTCTAACTGGTATTTTGCTCCAATATGATCGGGTTTTGATTTTAGGTGACTTCAATATCCACGTGTGCTGCCCTGCTAAACCTTTAGCTCAGGACTTTCTAGACCTCATCCAGTCCTTTAACTTTGTTCAGGGTGTTGTTGGTCCAACTCACCAGCAGGGCCACACTCTAGACTTAGTTTTAACACATGGTTTGTCTGTTTCTGATTTAGAAATTGGTGACACTGTTTGTTCCGACCACAAACCGGTTTTATTCAACACCTCATTGATTTGTGAACCTGCACCTCCCCCCACACCCAAGCCCTGTAGGATTTTTAACCCTTCCACCGCCACACTCTTCTCTTCCATCTTTGCTGGTAATTCTGTTTCAGACTCTGAACTCTCTGCGGGTCTTACTACAAAGGAGTTGCTTTCTCAGCATCAGGAGGCGTGTGTACAGATCCTGGACTCAGTCGCCCCGTTAAAGCTCAGGAATCGAAAACGCATGTCCCACCCTTGGGTAAATAAGACTACACGAGAGGCAAGACGCTTCTGCAGAAGAGCTGAACGTCGATGGAAAAAAGATAAACTTCAGGTGTCTTTTGAGATGTTAAAAACATGTTGGAAAGCCTATCAGACCACCGTTAAACAGGAGAAAAACAAATATTTCTCAAAAATTATCAACTCAAACAGTCACAACCCCCGCTTTCTTTTCAACACCATTAACACCATTCTAAACGTGCCTCAGTCTGCCACCATTGAGGCCTCTGTTGACACCTGTAATAAGTTTGTCAGGCATTTTGTTGAAAAGGTTGAGTCAATTAGGTCATCAATTCCACACTCCACACCCGACCTTTCAGTTCTTGTCCCCTGCTCAGCAGTCTTCAGTCACTTTGACCCCATCTCACTCTCATTTTTAATTGAGGTCGTTGGTCACATGAAACCCTCAGGCTCCCCTGCTGATCCCATCCCTGCTGCATTTTTTTAAACAGGTTCTACCATCAACTGGACCCTCTGTTCTTGCCATTATTAACAGCAGTTTGTCTACTGGTGTGGTCCCTGATGTTTTAAAACATGCTGTGGTAACTCCATTAATTAAAAAACCCGGACTTGACCCTGCAGCTTGTTCAAACTTCAGGCCAATCTCAAAACTTCCATTTCTTTCTAAAATCTTGAAGAAAAAAGTTTTTAGTCAACTAACCAAGTTTTTGAATGTAAATGGAATTTTTGAGATTTTTCAGTCAGGATTTAAACAACTGCACAGCACCGAGACAGCTTTAGTAAGGGTCTGTAATGACATTCTGCTAGCGAATGACTCTGGTCAGTCTGTGATCCTGGTGCTCCTCAACCTTACCGCTGCATTTGACACTGTTGATCACAGCATCCTTATGTCACGGCTAGAACACTGGGTTGGGATTACAGGGGTGGTGCTAGAATGGTTCCGTTCGTATCTGGGTGACAGAAGTTTTTGTGTTAACTTTGACAATCATTTTTCTGCTTCTGTCCCTCTTTCCTGTGGGGTCCCACGAGGCTCCATTCTTGGACCCCTTCTGTTCCCATTGTATCTGCTCTCCTTGGGGTCAATCCTGAGGAAACATGGTATTTTGTTTCACTGTTACGCCGATGATTCTCAGATCTATCTGCCTTTAAAACCAAACAGTTCCTGCTCTATCCACCCTTTGCTAAAATGTCTTGATGACATCAAGACTTGGATGGCTGCAAACTTGAGTTTTAATGATCAGAAGACTGAGGTCATTGTGTTTAACCCAAGTTCTACCACTGTCACTGATCCTGTAAACCTGCACTCCCTTCAGCCTCATCTAAAGCAGTTGGTTACCAATCTCGGGGTAGTTTTAGACTCGGACTTTAAGTTTAATAAACAGATCAACGCTGTTCTACAAAAAAGCTTCTTTCAGCTAAGGCAAATAGCAAAGCTTAAGTCCGTTCTGTCCAGATCCAACCTTGAAAAACTAGTCCATGCATTTATTACAACTCGGCTGGACTACTGTAACTCACTTTATGTTGGGGTTAGTCAGGCTTCACTTTCACGTCTCCAGCTCGTGCAAAATGCTGCAGCTCGGCTACTAACAGGAACTCGCAGGTTTGAGCACATTACTCCGGTTCTGTCCTCCCTTCACTGGCTTCCTGTACTGGTCAGAGTTGATTTTAAAATTCTCCTGCTGACATTCAAGTGCATTAATGGCCTTGCACCATCATATCTCTCCGACCTTCTCCATCCTTATACTCCTTCTCGGGCTTTGAGATCATCAGACCAGCTGCTTTTGTCCGTACCAAAAACAAGGCTGAAGCTCAGAGGAGATTGAGCGTTCTCAGTCGTGGGCCCTAAACTCTGGAACAATCTGCCCATCAACATTCGACAGGCCACCTCAGTCTCTGCTTTTAAATCTCTCCTAAAAACACATCTGTACTCATTGACATTTAACACAGGGTGATTGGATTTAGATCTAGTTTTTCATTGATACTGATTCTGTTTATGCTTTTGTTATTATTCCTATTTAACACAAGGTCATCAGATCTGATTTAGTATTTCATTGTTTCTGACTGAGTTTATGCTTTTTGTTATTATTTCTTTGACTTTTGACACATCGTGATCTGATTTAGTATTTCATTGTTTCTAATTGTTTTTGGTTTTATATTTTTATTCCATGTGCTGTAAATATATCTTGCTACTTTTTATTTGATGATGTGATATTTTTGTTAAGCACTTTGGTAACAGTTTCTGTTTTAATTGTGCTCTATAAATAAATCTGACTTGACTTACATTCTTGCTTGAGGGTGTCAATGATGGCCTTCTGGACAGCAGTCATGTCGGCAGTCTTACTCATGATTGCTGTTTTGAGTAATGAACAAGGCTGGGAGTTTTTAAAAGCCTCAGGAATCTTTTGCAGGTGTTTAGAGTTATGTCGTTGATTCAGATGGTTAGGTTAATAGCTTGTTTAGAGAACCTTTTCATGATATGCTAATTTTTTGGGACAGGCATTTTGGGTTTTCATGAGCTGTATGCCATAATCATCAGTATTAAAACAATTAAAGACCTGAGATATTTCAGTTGGTGTGCAATGAATCTGAAATATATGAAAGTTTCATTTTTATCATTACATTATGGAAAATAATGACCTTTATCACAATATGCTAATTTTTTGAGAAGGACCTGTATATGAATGAAACTTTTAAACCCAGTATAATGACCAGGACATCAAGGTCTAAGTTTCAGAAACAACACCTTAACTCTCCTCTCTAAGAACTGAGTACATCTTATAAGCCCAACTGCAAAAGACAACTGAAATCCAAAGGCCCAGAGAAAGACATTACACGTTTGGTATCATATTATCAGATGAGATTGAAACTTGACTGGCAAACTCTGATATCTTTTGAACATGAAAGCAAGTTTATTTTAACATTTAAATATGGAAAAGTATTAAGACACACTGAAGGAAGAGGTTTACTTTTGTGTTTTCTTTTTGAGGCTATGAGAAGCATTGAAGTTGGAACTGTGTTAACTCTTTCAGTGTTTTTTGTTGTTATTTTTTTAATCTGACAGGGACAAATGGAGATTCGTGTTTTTTCTTTAGAATGGAGGAGGTCTGGATCAGAACCTGACTGTCAGATTACGGTAACCTCAGAATATTTTCACTCACTGCAAAGTATTTAATGACGCAGCATGCATTCCTGGGGTCACTTAGTTGTGGCTGCCTGCCTGGGAGGAGTCGACGGGGGACAGGACAACCCCCAGAAACCATCTTATCTCCAGCAAACTGGTTGGACAACTTAAGGAGTTTACTGCTTTGTGAGGAAAGTTTACTTGGAGTTCCTCAGACTGATAAAACCCTCTAGATAGAGGGTGAAACTTCTCTAGAAAAAAGAAACTGTCCAGATAACCTGACTGAGCATTAGTGGATTTGGTACCTGGATGACTGAGCACAAACTTTGATGTCTGCATTGGTTTTTGCCACGAACTTAGCAGTTGTTTAAATCTCTTAGAGAGGGCAAGGTCGAGAGCTTCTTTTCCAGGTTACAGGAGCGGAGTAAGAGAAGGCCCTTTTATGAAGTTCAGTTCGCACTGAGGGTACACTGCAGGTAATGATGTCAGGAGAGTGCATGCTGTAGCTGCACTAACGAAGTGACATGTAAGAGAAGATATATGAAGACAACAGACCAAGAAGTGATTTAAAGATGAATCACTTCTTGTTCTGTTGCCGTCATGTATCTCCTCTTCATGTCACTTCGTTGGTGCATGCTTGTCCTGTATCGTTCTAAGAAGTCCAGATGTCCTCATACAACAGAACAGCTTCATTCTCAGCACCTTATCAGATGCTTTTTCTAAATCCACAGATACAATGAAGTTCAGATTATTAAGTTTAGTTAATTTACTTTAATAAATTAAATGTTTTCATAAGCTTTGTTTTTATTTTAGTGTTTTCATCTAAGATAAGCATTGTTTACCTTAGTGCTTCAGCTTAATTACTTTAGGTATTTTAGTTAGCTTATTTTGCTGACTTAAACTGAATTGGTTAAAACTGTTGTTAAGAGCCCTCACATAATTTCTGACAGACTGTTCCATAAATTCAGATGTGGTCCTTGTTATGGACTAGATCCTTACCTCACAGTGCCAACAACAGGGAACTCCTTTGACCATCTTCTTCCTCTCACCTGATTTACAGGGGAAGCTACAGACAGACTCTGGAACTGAGCTGTCTCCTCCAGACCACTGCATCTCATCCAGCTGCAGATAGACACACAGAGTTAGGAAGGTAACGACCAGCAGTTAGACCTTTTTGCTTTTCTACAATCAGTATCTTACATTGAGTCTCAAATTATTGGTCCACTGTCCAATCACTTGGTAGCCATGATGGCTGCGATTGGTATTCTGGAACTGAAAGATGTCGTAGCGTCCTGGAGCATCTCCATTTTCATTGAACAGAACACTCATCCCTGCACTTCCTGTAAGACAGGGTCACGACATGGGTTAGCAAAAGAATTTCAAAGTTTTAGAAGTTTAAAATCATACCATACCATACTATTTATAAAGCACGTTAAACAGTGACAGGGCAAACCAAAGTGCTGTACAAACAGAAACAAACAGGCAAAGCACACAGTAATATATAACATAACGTAAAATCAAAATATAGAAACAAAATAAAAGCAGATAATAAGTGTGATGCATACAGGTTCAACACAGATCATACAGTATTGAAACCCAGGGAATAATAGTGGGTTTTTAAGTGGGATTTAAAAACTGTGAGGGAGGGGGCCTGCCTGACAAGCAGAAGTAACTCATTCCATCAAAGCAACTTGATCTCTATTCAGTAGTTCTTCAGATAGGATCAGTCAAATGTTCATCTAAAGTTATGTAAACAGTCTGGGTGAATCACCTCCAACACAGCCTTAAACAGAATTAGCCTAACGTCACTCTGGGTAAAGCTCAAGTGTTAAATTAGTCTGATATACCCCTTAGAGGAGAGGCTGCAGTGGGGTTTTAGCCATAACACAAGTGGTAACTTCACTGGGTAGAAATACACTTAGTCTCTTTTGAAAGAGTAACTTTTAAAGGCAGACAGAGAAAATGGACCTTAGATTTTATAAAACATGACAGGAGTTAGGACCGTCCCTCTTCCGAGAAGTGGACTAAAGTCAGTCTGAAACACACATGCAGTTAAGTTTCACTTCTTTTACAAACACTACTTCACTTCTACTTCTTCAACTTCTACTTTTCAACTTCTGCTACACACTGAATGAGGCTTCGTCTCATGAAGACTTCACTTGAATTCAGAACTGGGAGAGAAAAACTCAGTTTCTGCATGGAAGGGAAGCATCCTTTCTGCACAGCAACGGGACAAAAGATACAGAAGAACCCTTGCAGACGTCTCAGCATAAGAGAACCTGACCTAACCAGAACCATCACACCGCAGAGTGGTAAATCCCAGCTGACTTCAGAGCCAGTGGCCGAACTTTCGTCCCTCCAACCGATGATAGGTGACTTTTGAGGACAAAATCAGCCTCTCAGTCACCGGAGCATCTCAGGCCTTGCGGGTATGATTTTAAGCAGCTGTGGAACATTCTGACCACTCGTTCTGGTGAGAGACTCTTCAATGCACTTCTGGTGATCATACATCACAATAATCTTATCAGACAAACTACAGATCACTTTAGACACAATTTCAACTACTTCACAAGCAGAACCAGTCCAAAAACTGCCTTTTTAAGTTTCACTGATTTGAATAATCAATTAGACCTTTGATACAAAGCTATTTGTTATTCATTTGTTTGTTATGCATAATTTTTCATCACATATCAATCAACCTTTATTTAGACAGGTAAATCCCATTGAGCCTTGAGAACTCATTTACAAGAGAGACCTGATTTCAACAAAGAAAGATGACAACAATGGACAACAGCAACAACAATAAACAATTATAAAAAGTCATACTGCAGGGTTTTTTTTTTACAAATAGGATGGCTAAAAGGAAAAGGTAACAAAAAAACAGCTAGATTCTAAGGCAAACGTAGAAAACTAAAAACAGGAACATGTCTGCATTGGTCCCTGCCAGGAGTCCAACAGATTCTTAAAGCCACTTAGAGAGGTCAAGGTCGAGAGCTTCAAATCTTTTTGTAAGATATTCCAGGAAACAGGAGTGGAGTAGGAGAAGGCCCTTTTGCCTAGTTCAGTCCTCATTGAGGGAACACTGCAGGTAATAATGTCCTGAGAGCGCACTCCGTAGCTGCACTCACGCAGAGACATGTAGGAGGAGATGTATGAAGGCAACAGACCAAGAAGTGATTTAAAGATGAAAATGTACCAGTGAGAGAGTCTGCGTGAAGTTAATGATGTCCAGTTAACCAGTGAATACAGGGTGCAGTGGTGGGTACGATAATCACAGCCAATTATGAATCTTAGTGCACCATGATAGACAGCATCCAACATCTGCAGAGTTCTTGTAGGAGCGTTCATGTAAATAATGTCACCGTAATCAATTGAGGGAAGGAAAGTCACAGATACAAGGCGTTTTCTAGCATTCAGGGTTAGACAGGATCTGTTTCTGAAAAATAAACCCAGTTTAACTTTCAGTTTCTTTACCAAGTTTTCCACATGGAGCTTAAAAGAGAGATGTGAGTCGACCAAGATACCCAAATATTTATAGGAATCAACAAACTCAATCGGGACACCATTTGAGGATAAAATCGGAGGAAGAACTGCTGGGACTAACTTCCTATTTGAAAAAAGCATCCCTTTGGTTTTGTTGGCAGTTAGGACAAGTTTGAGGCAGAATAAATCAGTCTGGATGTTGTTGAATGCAGATTTCAAAAGCTGAAAAGCCTTAGCAACAGTTTTAGCTCGACAATAAACAACTGTGTCATCAGCATAGAAATGTAAGGATGCATTAGGGATGTTTTTACCAACATTATGTATGTAGATTGTAAAGAGGGTAAGTCCTAAGACTGAGCCTTGTGGTACACCATTGTTGACTGTTAAATAACTGGAGGAAGTACCATTATGTTGAACACATTGCGTCCGGTCGGAAAGATAGTTAGAGAACCAACCTATGTTGTGTTCTGAGAAACCAATTTCTGTGAGTTTATGACACAAGATGTTATGATCCACAGTGTCAAAAGCTTTAGACAGGTCTAAGAAAAGTGTAGCACAATAATCCTTAGCATCCAGTGCTTCAACAACATCATTAAGAACCTTCAGTGAAGCAGTGGTTGGGCTGTGTTGTTTCCTGAAACCAGATTGATGTGGAGG